TTTTCTGTAAAGCTATTTGACCTACATAACAGCAATGCCCAATAAACACTAAATTGATTCTACCTCTGATCCTTATCCAAAACATTCTTAAATCTATTTAGCTAATCTGATTGTATTTGTGTGAAGTTTGTTTTCATAGAAAAAGACCAAATAAATAGCACCATCTAACTAATTCAATCCCCAGGCTTAGTTACTACTTTGAGTAGATGCAAAATAGAGTCGGGCAATTCTATTGTGCAAGATTATTGTTTGTTAGGTTATGAAAGATTAGTCCTTTCACTTCAAATATCAGTGTGTGACACTTATAACCTATGAGTGAAAAACCTCGTCTTTAATGATCAATATCCTAGGTTTCTCTCTGGAGAACAAATCCCCTGCCTTTCCAATAGTGATATTTGATGTACACTGAATGCTTACTGCATGCCAGGCACTGGTCTAACAGCTTTATATGTATTAACTCATTTAATCCTCCCTACAACCCCATATTATGATCCCCATATACAGATGAGGAAACTGAGGCCCAGAAATTAAATGATTTGCCCAGCATTATACCACCACTGGATAGTAAAACTTGTCTGGCTAAAACAGAGCTAACTCTGAAACATTTTGCTATCTTACAGCCTCTTGGGGGGGCATTCTCAATGAGGTATCTATGGCACCTCAAATGTAGTCTATCTAAAATCTGTCATCATTTTCTCCCTACAATTTACCTTTATCTCTTGACTTCCCTATTTCTTTCAGGTCTATATTGGTATTTATTCTTAATAACACCTGGCTATTTTGCAAATACTATAACATGAAAGAAAAAAAATTCTACAGTGGGAACCATAAGTCTCAAGATTCTGGTTCTCATTTAACAGTATGACTTTGGGGCTTCAGGTAATCACAGAGGGACTAATTTCCTCTTCTGCCAGACAAGGTCTCTCTCCTGCTCAATTACTCCCTGTACGAAGTTTATCTTTAAACTACTACAGGTAAAATCTATAAAATGTGAAAAAATTAATGAACAGTAAAATAAAAAAAAGGAAAGAAGTATTTTTTAAAAGCAATTTGTACCAGATTTTTATTCTGATCACTCAATAAAATTGTTCTGTAGATAATTTCATAGCCAAAAAAAATAAAAATAAAACCCTAAGAAAGATGTGTTCATAATTTTTAAATTCCTATGTAAATTATGGCATATCCACACAATAAAATATGATGTCATAGTTCTAAGATATGCTTTTAAGGGTTTTGAAAGACACGGGAAATGTTTTAACTTTAACTGCACAAAAGGAATTCTGATTAAAATGTCTCCACCTGAAACTTCACTGTGTACATATGCATTCTCAAGTCAACTTTCTGACATCTGGCTGCCTCCTTTCCTGTTCCTCATCTTTCTCCAAGCTCTGAGTTAATCAAATTGAAGTATCAAAAGTACAGTAATTTCTTTTGTATTTAGGAAGCTTGCCAGCTCCAAAAACTCTACAGACACCATTAAAAGATGAAAGTCAACAAAAACAGCGTCTCGCAAAGAAATTGTAACTGCCACTCCAGGGAGGCATGATGTAGTTTCCCTCTGGGAATTCAACAAACAAATAAGACTGAGATGAAATTTGCTTAAGAAAAAATCATAAATCCAGACAAGCAACAATTACGCTGTTATCAACCATGTGCCATTAAAAACTATTTCATCTGAGAGGGCTGTGCCATTAAGTAAGCAAAACAGATTCTAAAGGAAGCACAGTTGCAGAATACTGCTTTAATGCAAGCTTATGAGGTAATTATTAAATCAAGTGAAAGAAATCCAGCAAACAATATCAGCTCAGGGCCTCAGAATACTTAAAATAAAAACAAATGTCTACCAAGCTGAATTGTTGCTTGTTGCATAGGCTCATGGAGGAGTTTTGCTGCCTTGTATATTGGGACATATTTTTTCTTTCTTTTACTTTTCTAAACATGAATCTCCTCATACAAAACAAAGCAATAAGGGGCGCCTGGCTCAGTGGGTTAAACATCCGACTCTTGATTTCAGTTCAGGTCATGACCTCAAGGTTGTGGGATCAAGGCCCACGTTGGGCTCTGCACTGACAGCAGGGAGTCTGCTTCAGATTCTCTTTCTCCCTCTTCTCTGCTCCTCCCTCGCTTGCATTCTCTCTCTCAAAATAAATAAATCAACATTTTTTTTTTAAATATAGCAATAAGCTAATGCTCAAGAAAGATATAAACACATGACCCTCACATGCGTTCAATGCTAATATAGTCTTCCTGGTGATTCCATCTCTACATTCTTTCTATGCAATAGACTATTGTTTGTCAAAATGGTCCCTGTTTAATGTAATGTGAAAAAATGTAAGTGAAAAAAACTTTTTGGCTCTAAAGAAAATTGTACATTTCAACATAAATTTTTAGGGTCATTTCTATGACTGTAAATATAATTAACATTCACAGTGTGTCTGTGAAATTTTTTTGCATTTTTCTAAGCAATAAAACCTGCCTCTTCCCCAGAGAAATATATTAATAATTAAAAAGCTTTATAGATTAAATACAGAGTAATCCATACTGCAACTGGTAATGTTAAATATGCTATTACTATACCCTTAACGTTCTTAAAATTTTTTGCAAAGATGTAAGTTTTTTAGTAACTAACATGAAAATCAATTAGTACACCAATGATTACACAAGCGATAGCCCAGTAAATATACACATACAGACCCTAGAATGTTTTAAAATATGAAATTCATATTTTAATTCATAAAACAGCTAACTAAATAGAAGTTCTGCATAGAAAAATAGTGTTTGATAATCTTGCCACCAAATACTTGGTTCACTTTGAATGTTAATAATATCTTTCAACTAGGGGCGCCTGGGTGGCTCAGTCCAGTCGAGCATCCAATCATGATCTCATAGTTAGTGAGTTCGAGCCCTGTGTCGGGGCTCGGTGCTGACAGCTCAGAGCCAGGAGCCTGCTTTGGCTTCTGGGTCTCCCTCTCTCTCTGCCCCGCCCCACTCGTACTCTGTCTCTCTCTCTCAAAAATAAATAAACATTTTTAAAAATAATGATAATATCTTTCAACTATAACGGTCCCTAATTTGACTGACCTTGATAGCTGATGTATATTATATACTTGTTACGTGTGCTAACTGCTCTAGTACCTGTGTTAGACAACAGCCCCAATATGTTAGGAGATATGTTATAGATGAGGAATCTGACCAAGAGATATTCTATAACTCTTCTCATCTCCAGAAGTAGGACTCAAATCCAGGTTGTTTTGAGAACAGGGCACATGCTGATAATTTTATGCTGTGTTGACTCCAACAACACCTGGACACTTTTAAAACCTAGTCTCAAAATTTAATGATTAATAGCAGTTTTCTCAAAGGGAACTAGTTGGCCCTATTTCTGACCCGCCCAAAGAAAAGGATCATACCAGTAAACTTAACACCAGTAAACTTAACAGTAAACTGATCATTATAAGACCCAGAGACACAGGATTTGCCATGCTGTTCCCTTCCCACACATAAACGGTGAAATAGCGGGTAGGTCCCAGAATTGGTTACAGGGGGACTATGTATCTTCACAGTGAAGGACTGGGCCAATGACACCTTAACCCAGTGCTCGTGCTCAAGCTTAGCCTCAGCAGTGGGGAAGACCCCTGTTTGTTCTGTGATGCAAGAGGAGAACACATCCCTTTTGATGGTTCCTGGCCAAAATACTTGCTTTGATCTAATCAAGCATTTGGATCTAGCCTCCTATTTCAGGAATTACAAGAGCCAGAGGAGTAAACTAAATGACACCAGCAAGAAGAAATGAGACAAATCCAGAAGATAGGACATTCCCCAGAACAACTGGTTCTGTCTCTTCCGCAAGTCAGTGTCATGAATAACAAGAGGCTGTTCTAGATTCAAAGAGACTTCAGGTACACAACATCCAGATGCACTGCATGATCGTGGACTAAATTCTGCTTAAGATAAACTGTTGGTCAAGGACATTGTGAGAGAACCACGGGAAACCGAATGTGTGCGGTACTAGGCAATGTTAAGAATGATTACCAATTATATTAGTTGTGATAATGTTGATTTGGCCATGTAGCACAGTGGTCTTACTTTTAAGAGATACATACTTTTAAGAAGGGAAAATGTTAAGATGTCAATATTTTCCTTTAAATTGCTTCAATATAAACACAGAGTTTTGAAAAAGAGGGGGATCAATTGCAAAACAAATGAGTATAAATGGTTTAAGTTTCAAAAATCATGATTCACTGTCAAGGATTATGCTTAATTGAAAAAAATATGATACATGAACAGAGAAGCTTTGATCTCAAGAGGCCTCCCCCATCACTACCACCCACAAAGTGCTAAATGAAAAAATTTACAAACTTGAAGTAAAATATCAATTTTGAAATTTTTAGGCTTGTGAAACCAATGTTCAGAATCACTAAAGAAAAACAGATTAAAAATCCAAAATTACAGCATGCTATTGCAGAATAATCACAACTTGGGCAACATGGTATGTTGATTTTCATACTGCTGTTTTTATTGTATATGCTTCATTCATTTCCACACCTCCTGTGGGAATTATTTTCCTTGCACATTAATAAACATCCTTTGTTCTAAGCACATATGTAACAAATAAGAAAGCAAAGTCAAAAGTTTAGATAATATTTGGGGAGAAGAACTGAACTTCAGTCAAAGCCTAACAACCAGTTTCATGAGATGACTTCGGTAAGTTGCTGTGACTGAGGATGCTGGTTATTACCTAGGAGCAATGTAAAGGCCACTAATGAACAGTAGTAAAAGGCTGAGATTCTTAGGGATATAAAATCAATTGGATTCAGACACAGACAGGGAGACCTATAAGTACACATAAATTTTCTTCAGGGAGCCTACAGCCTAGTACAAAGATCACCAGGTGGCTTTTTCTATTCCTCTGAGGAAATGTGCAATTTAAATACATGGCACCTGCCTCTGGGTATGGAAATAACAGATTCCAAAATTTAAAAACAAGAATAAAAACAAACCTCAGGCCCAGCTGCCTGCAGATCACTTCTGCATCTGCTTCATCCCAGTGGTCATCACAGACAGTCCCCCACTGACCAGCATGGTAGAGCTCCACTCGGCCTTCCCGGGCGCTGCTCCCACCCACGAGGCGTATGACAGGAAACGCTGGGCCTGTTCCGCGTGAGATTAGAAACAAATTAATTAGGCCAACATATCAACATTGACTGATAAGATTAGATATATTCTATTTATTTGCCATTCTCAGTAATTAAATCATACTTATTAAGCCACTTCAGTGATTTGGACATACACATGCACGTGTATTATGTATTATGTTATTCTTCATCAATTAAAATATTCCAAACTGGGGGCACCTAGCATGCAACTCTTGATCTCAGGGTTGTGAGTTCAACCCTGAGTTGAATCCCCCATTCATGTGAGTTCAATCCCCCATATTGGGGGTAGACTTACTTAAGAAAAATATATATATATAAAAATTTTAAAAAGTACTCCAAATTGAACTATGTTCATTTAAATAGCTCTTAAGAGGAAGTAGTCTAGGGGTGCCCAGCTGACTCAGTCAGAAGAGCCAGCAACTCTCGATCTCGGAGTTGTGAGTTTGAGCTCCACGCTTAGTGTAGAGATTACTTTAAAAAAAAAAAAATATTTAAAAGAAAAGAGGAAGTAGTCTAAATTCACTTTTCCCCCAAAAACCTCAGAAACCAGAAAAAAACACTCAAAACTGTAGTTTACTGGAAACACATTTGATTTTAATGATATTGTAGTAGTGACACTGATTTTTTAATTTACAGTGACTTGAGCATTACCAACATGTAATTTTTTTTATTATTTTAGAAAGAGAGAACAAGGGGCAGAGGGAGAGAGAGAATCTCAAGCAGGCTCCACACTCAGTGCAGAGCCCGACATGGGGCTCAATCCCATGATCCCGCGATCTGGGGTCATGACCTGAGCTGAAATCAAGAGTCAGGTTGCTTGGGGCGCCTGGGTGGCTCAGTCGGTTGGGCGGCCGACTTCGGCTCGGGTCGTGATCTCTCAGTCCGTGAGTTCGAGCCCCACGTCGGGCTCTGTGCTGACAGCTCAGAGCCTGGAGCCTGTTTCAGATTCTGTGTCTCCCTCTCTTTGACCCTCCCCCGTTCATGCTTTGTCTCTGTCTCAAAAATAAATAAACGTTAAAAAAAAAAAATTAAAAAAAAAAAAAAAAAAAAGAGTCAGTTTGCTTAACTGACTGAGCCACCCAGGTCTTTTTTTTTATATTTGCAGAAATCAAGTTGAAGTTAACACCTAACTCATTATAGCAAGGTAGTGAACATTATGGCCAATACCTGTAAAAAACAATATTGAGAATTCATTTGGATATGAATCAGTTCATATTCATTTTCTAAGAACTACCAAAGGTTTCTCATTGCAAATTCCTTATTATGGTCCACAGTGCCCTGATCTAGCCCTTGTCATTATCCTGAATATCTCTCTCTACTCCTGGCCTCCTTCACCAGGGTATATGTATGATGCCCTCATCCTTCTATCCTCAAAATACTCGAAGTTGACTCCCACCTTAGGGTTTGTACACTTCCTGATTCTTCTGCTTGAAATAATGTTCCCACAGATCCTCCCCTGGCTGTGTCCCTCAGTTTTCAGCTCTGAATTGTCCTTTGCTTAGAAGGCCTGCCCTGGCTACCCTAGCTAATGAAGTACCTTAAGGTACTTTTCACTATATTGCCTTCTGAGTATTTACTTTATCTAAAATTATCATTGATTTATTGGTTTACATGTCAATTGTCTGCCTCCTAACAGCTAGAACTGAGGACAGAGATAGTGCCTTTCTCTTTCACCTGGGTATCTCAGGTTCCCGGCATACAGAAGGCACATAATGAATATCTGTGGGCTGACTGGCTGACAAGTGATAGCTAAAAACCTAGAAAGAATATCCCAAACATGGAAAAATAATTAGCAATATTCATTCACTCAGTTCTGTTTAACAAACAGATATTAGGCACCTGCAGGGCTGCAGGGCATTCACAGGAACACTAGACAGACCCCACCTTCACGAAGTTCACTACCTAAGGACATGAACAAAGTGAGTACAGAGAAGAGATCATCAGGAACATGTAGGGATTCAGAAGCAAGGTAGTCTGGGAATCTCTTCTGAAGAAGCTGTTATCTGAAGAGGGCCAAGGTGGATGGATGGGATTTCAAAAGTCAGAGATGGGGTAAGTGCATTTCAGGAAAAATGAACAGGATGAGCAAAAGCACAAAGAAGCACAAAGGTGAATGTGTTTGGGAAATAGTAAGCCAGGATAATTTTTCTAGAATAAAGGATGTAATATGGTAAAAGGTTCAGAATAGGCTGGGCCCCTATTCAGAAATTTAATTGTAGCTTTTGCCAAATGCTAATCATTTATCCACATGAAACAGTTTTCTAATTCCTCCATAGTGAAAGCAGCTGTCTGTAAACGGTATTGGGATATTCATATTTATATTCAAATATCATACTTGAGTTTTGCAGCACAGATTCAGACCAGTGAATATTTACATTTACTCATTCTGATCTTTAGAATATAGCTCATTTATATAAATCAACTAGTACTTATAATTTATAAAAGGATAAAGATAGTTTTAATAAATATACATGTTCTCAATATTGTATACTAGCTTCTTATAATTAACTGATGGCTGACTAGTGGTAAGAAACTTAAATTTGCATATTATGTTTATTTTCCCTTTAAAAAGCTTGGAAAACATAGAAAAAAATGATGGAAAAATGTATAAGTTTTTTAAGTTATTATATTCTCCCCTGCCTCCCCTCCCCCTGCCACTGTGGTAAGCTTGGAGATAACAGAAAAACAAAAATTTTTAAGAGGAAACTTAAAATCACCTACAACCCAGAACCGTATGGCATATTACCTTATTTTGTGTGTTTTCATGTTTTATTTTAAAGCATGTGGGCATTTTTCTGGCTGTATAAGTAATTGTGAAAATATTAAAAAAACTCAAAGACCAAATGACATCAACATCCCACATCCTCCCGACAAGCACACAGAAAATCATTTGAAAGAGAATTCAATGAGGTAGTTGACTCATGTTTAACTTATGGATAAATAAAACTCCCAGACATGTTCATTAAGATTACTACTTCCTATACCCAATACTGCTACCCAATCTCCTACTTAGGAAGTGTTGGAAAAGCAACAAAGACTAGGTGACAAAACACTAAATGTAATTTGCAAACTAAAAAAAGTGTATTTATGGTCTATCACTGTGCCTTGAAGTAGACTCAGTGTTTGCTAATTTGAGCCTTTCTCATTCTCATTGGATCTTTTTTCACTCTCACTGCTAACTTATCTCAACCTCCTACATTTTGATAGATGCTTATAAATGACCTTAAATTTATCTTTGCAGTCTGAGTATAAACAGGTGGATAGATGACAGAGAGAAGAAGGAATTTTCTTAAATAGATAGATATCCTGAAAGAAAAATAATTAGTTTTCAACATATTATTTACTTCACTATTTGAAAAATGTTAAACATTTTACCAATCAGGTTGAACATAAAGTACAAGTAATAATCTACAAAAAGCAGTGCGTTATTGAGCCCAATTTACATCATCCTTGAGGCAGCAATGCATAAACATGCACTGCTCAAAGCAGCATTACCCAAAAGTGGAGAATCAAAGGAAGAAAAGGAAAAATTTACAAAACACCAAGATTTAACACGCATCTGGCCCACTCAAAAAAGAACTGTGGTTCTCTGAGCACATACCTGTCCCCTATCTTCCAACTGGTTCTCCCAACCAATTCATAGGAATTACTTTAAATTGAGACTCTGTTTTTTTTTTGTGGTGAGAAATTTTTCCATTCTTCCCCTGATATTTGTACTCCAACAGAAACCAATGCCCTGGGCTGGCTGCTAGCTTTTTAGGACCTGGGATATCTGATCATGCTTCCGTCTCCAAGGAGAATGCAAGAAGGGATGCTGTGACAGTGTGCTGTGACAGTCAACTACCTCACTGAATGCTCTTTCAAATGATTTTCTGTGTGCTTGTCAGATCATTAAAACATGATCCCCAGGGGCACGTCGGTGGCTCAGTTGGTTAACCATCCAACATCGGCTCAGGTCATGATCTCACGGTTTGTGAGTTCAAGCCCCGCATCCAGGTCTGTGCGGACACCTTGGAACCTGGAGCCTGCTTCAGATTGTGTCTCCCTCTTTCTCTGCCCTTCCCCTGCTTACACTCTGTATCTCTCTCAAAAATAAACATTAAAAAAAATTAAAATATGATCCCCAGAAAACCTATCAGCCGTCATGAAAAGCAGCTAGTCCGTCCTTTACTTATGTTCATATGAATATATGCATATTTTTGTGTACTGAAACCATATAGTTCATCATCTCATGACGAGGGTGTGGTGCATGGAAGGAGCCTTTATCCAAGGCAGTTATCCATATTATGGAATGTGCTGTCTACAACTCAAAGGAGAATAATGGTACCATGATGATATTCTATCCTATAAATATAGTGACAATATTTTGTTGTAGTTTCTGTATTCTATATTTGATTTCAAGATGATTTTCCATCTTGATTCTATCATGACTTTCCATTAGTAAAATAAATGTTTCATATATGATATTTCTGTAAACAAATTAGAGAAAAGAGAAAACACACTAAAAGTGAGATACCATTTGAAAGTCAAATGGAATTCAGAATGTTAGACGCACTCCTAACTAAAGACTATTTGACTGTAAAATATGATGATTCAGGCTTATGTCTGTATTTAAACTCTTTTAGGAAATGGTTTAACGAAGACAATTTTATCATCTGGAATTTTGTGGAAAACATAATGAAAGTAAAAAAAAGAGGCTTTTTTTTTTTTTTACCATGGGAAAAGCTACATGTGACAGCAGCTGCCATCTTCTGAGGACACACCCCACCCTGCCAGATGTCTTTTTCACAAAGCAGTATATTTTCTTCATCTCCTCGGCAACGGACATTGCTCCAATAAATGGGAATAAGGCCCAGTCCAGAAAACGGGGTTTGTTTTGCTACTCCTTTTCCTCTGGAAATACAATGATTGAGGTTAGGTTTATCAAATACAGGTGAATTTTTTTTGTCAAAGTATTTAGATTTTTAAAAATCGAAGAAATCAATAAAGATGGATGTGGAAGGAAAAGAAAAACAAAGAAAAAAAAACTACATAAGTTTCAAGCAAGTCAAAACTCAGGAGATCAAAATTTGGGTTGATTACTTATGAGTCTTTAATCAATCTTACAGGACTAATGGTATGCATGTGCCTTTACTACCTATAGCTAATTTTAGGGGAAAATGGGTAAATACTACAGATATTAAGGAAAAGCCTGGTGATTTTGTAGAAGTGTGTCGTGTGGCTCCATGAGACTTGGATTCTAGTCTGGACTCAGCTGCAAATTACTCTAAGCTGCACGTTTCTGCAAGCTCTGCTTTCTGATGTATAAAAGGAGGGGTCTGGATGCTTAAAGATTCTTTCCTACTCTAATATTTTAGGCCAGCATTTTCAAAATGATTATTATTACTACATGTAAGCAAGATAATATCAAGAGAGGTGATCATTCATAATTTTTAAAGCCTTATATATAGTATTTGCTAGCAAGACTTTGAAACCAATGAATAAAATAATAACATGCAGATGGGCTCTGCTTTAACTCACCTAATCTACATCTTTTATAAGTAACTTTTAATATTTAGCAATTGATATTAAATTTTAAAAAGATTAAATGCTTATCTGATTAACAGGGTAATCTCTAGAACTGTCTCCATACAACAGCTTCCATCAACCCAAACAGTAAACATTCGGGATATATCAAAAATATGAGTATGTCTTAGGGCACCTGGGTGGCTCAGTTAGTTAAGTGACTGACTCTTGGTTTCAGCACAGGTCATGATCTCACAGTTCATGGGATCAAGCCCCCACTTTGGACTCTGTGCTGACAGCATGGAGCCTGCTTGGGATTCTCTCTCTCCCTTTCTGTCTGCCCCTCTCCTGCTCATGGGCACTTGTGCTCTCTCTCTCTCTCTCTCAAATAAACATTTAAGAAAAATATGAACATGTCTTAATAGCAATAATTCTGAGCTGCTCTGATCTAATTGTACAATTCTTTTTTACAAAATGGACTACTGATCGCTTCTCGGCCTTTTGGCTAAGATCAAGTGCAAAATGGACTACTGAGGGGCACCTGGCTGGCTCAGTTAGAAGAACATGCAACTCTTGATCTCAGGGTCGTGAATTCAAGCTTTATTTTGGGTGTAGAGATTATTAATAATAATAATCAAATAAAAGGACAACTAAGAGATAATATAAGTAATCAGAGTAATCAGATTCCCTTACCTGAAGTTCTGTTTGCAAAGCTTCCTAGTGGGAAGACAGGAGGAGGCAGGCAGATTAAATGTCTTACTGATCTGACTGCAGTTGATTAACCTTTTCATTTCTATCATCATCTTTGATATTACCACTCACTGATTATTAGTCCAAAATATTTGTAAACTGCAAAATTTTCTTTCAGTCTTTTGGACCTGTCTATTCAAAACAAGATATTTTCCACACTTTCTAAAGATCTCTAGAGATAAAGGCCAAGAAAAACATCTGGCATGTGTACTTAGAAAAAAAATAAATGAGACACAAAAACAGAACAATAAGAGCAACCACAAAAGCAAAACCTTGTGTTCCGAAATGGAGCCTTCTGCTCCTGGTGAAATCCCCTGGCAATTGGCATAAAGGTGCCAGGGCTGTTGGAAGTTGGAGCGGACAGACTGTTTCACAGAGAGCGCTTGGAGCAGCCAAGAAGCCACGGTCACTGCAGGGCACTGCTGGGGCTGATGAAAGCAGCCATTCTCTAGCAGGACCTCCTCAGCACAGAACCCCCAGGCCTGGACATCACCCCTTACCCATTTCGGGATGGAAGCACAGGTAAACACCGCCTTCTTCACGCACAAAAAGATGTAAGCTGTGGATGGCTAAAAGTAGACAGTTAAATGCAAATGACAGCAGTCTAGGGCTGCATGAGCTACTGAGAAATTACAATTCTCAGAATCAAATTCTTTATTTCCTAGGACTAAACAATTAATGTTAAAGACAAAGAGCAAAAGATGCTTTTGACTTTTGACCACTTAGCATTTGCATATTTTCTGGTTAGCATTCCTTCCACATGCAGCCCTTTCTTTATAACTCTTGTGTAAAGGGAGAATAAGGGACATGAGAAGGAAGGAAGATGTCATCTTTCCACAGCAGTGATGGGTGCCCACCATTATTTGCAAATATTAGCAGCCTGATCGGGTCAAGGATGGGCGAACTCACCCCTGCTGCAGCTGGTGACAAATGACTGATGCATCGGAATCATCCCAGTGGCTGCTACACACTGTGCCCCAAACTCCATTCACATAGATTTCCACTGTGCCTTCAAACTCATTTTTGCCACCTCGAAGTCGTACTGACCCTGAAGCGGAAAAGAATCCCAAAATCCCTTAATAGCAAATCAGCATTTGAACATTATTACTTCACCATTCCTTAGTTAACATGATTTTCCCACATAAGTGGTGAGAGATCCAGTCAGAACAATTCAGTGTCCATGTTAATGGCATGCGCTTCTTTCTTTAAATGAAGGTTTAGCAGATTCTTTTTTATTTAGTTTATTTTTTTTGATAATTGACTTCATGGTGTCAATACTACTTCTGTTTTCTTCTTTAGCTAAGCAAACAGAAAGTCCAATTACATTTTAAAAGGGGACAATGTGGAAGAGTATGACTAATGTCTGATGTTACATCCCAAATATTGGATTATATCCCATACAAAATGCTTATCATTTGTGTATCATCTTCCACTTCACATGAGGTCATAGATAAGAAGCAGAGAAACAAAATTCAGTGCTCTATTTACAAATTAGTTGTAACTGACTGCGTTATATATTCCTTCTATGGGATTTGTTCATCACTAAAGAGCAAAATGCTGTTTCCTCTTTTAACTTCAAGCAGTAGTCACGAAAATTCTAAAGATTATGTCTATAATTTCAAAAAGGTGGTGGTGTTAAAAACATTGCCTAATGTCAATCTTAGGAAAACTGCCACTAGGTAGAATTGTTTGGTATAATGAGTGTCCCTGGAAATTTGCCTTCCCTTACACACCATCTTCACTCAGCTGCTGCAGAGATCACGACTTGAGTCATTCTTTCCAGTCTTGAAAAGAGTCAAAATTAAAATTCGAGCACCCTCATGGGACACCAGGGTGGCTCAGCTGGTTAAGCAACCAACTTTGCTCAGGTCATGATCTCACAGTTCATGAGTTCGAGCCCTGCATGGGGCTCCGTGCTGACAGCTCAGGGCCTGAAGCCTGTTTGAGATTCTGTGTCTTCCTCTCTCTGCCCGTCCCCTGCTTGTGCTTTGTCTTTTTTCTCTCTCTCTCTCTCTCTCACAAATAAACATTAAGAAAAAATTTAAAAAAAACAAATGCAAGCACCTCAGGAAAAATAACATCCCATAAAAGTGAGGATGGATCAGGGTGCCTGCGGGGGCTCAGTTGGTTGAGCGTTTGACTCTTGGTTTCAGCTCAGGTCATGATCTCACAGTCTCGGTCTCATGAGTTCGAGCCCTGCATAGGTGTCTGGGCTGACAGCTGGGAACCTGCTTGGAATTCTCTGTCTCTCCTCTCTGCCCCTCCCCCGCTTGCACTGTCTCTGTGTCCTCAGAATAAATAAGTAAACTTAAACAAAAAAAGTGTAGATGAATTCAGGTTTCCCTTCTAATTGCCATTGGTTTGCAAAGTGGCTACTGGGAGGCCACAAGTCGGGCACTTAAGCAGAGATAGAAGCACTTATCATTTCACAGATAAAGAAATCAAGAAATTAAGTTCTATCAAAAAACTGTCATATTTTGCATATTTCAAAGTTGTTTCAAAGTCTGACTTTAAAATAATTTTTCCAAAATATTAGATTCACAAATTATCCATTCACTTCATTTGCAGGGGCCCAGGCATCTCCCACTATTATTTTCCAAGTCATCATCATTTAAAAATGAAACTATTTAAGAAACACATATTGTATTTCTCATGATAAATACAAAGTGTCATTTAATTCAAACAATATTAAGACAATATTAAATGGAAGGAACACATTACACTGCCAAATCCTGATTATGCAGGAGAGAGCATGGGCATGGATCATTCACATGGCAGATAAATCTTAATCACTCACACATTCCAAACCTCTTTAGTTCACTAAGCAGGAGGAATCCCTGTTTGGCTCAACGAAGAGTGTGAACTGCACAACATTTTTAAAGAAATATGTCTGAAGAGTTTAACTGAGCTTTAATGATTTTTTAATCACAAAATCTCTTCCACAGAGACCTACATAATATTATGCATATTGCAAATGCCAGCATTTTATTTCAACTCAAAGAATTCACTTGCTCACCTCAAACAAACATTATTTGAAATGATATTTAAATTGATCTATTATCTATTAATCCTCCTCCACTAGATTACTCGAGTCAAAGGGTTGGAAGAAAGTTCTAGCAATGAAAACAAACTGGAATACTACTTGTGCGTGTTAAAAAAAATCATAAAAAATGTAATATACTGCCTAAATCACCAAAAAGCTACCAATAAGAAATGATGCATACATAACATCTAAAGATTAAGGCATTTGGAGATAAGGCATAGAAAACTCTGCATAAAGTATAATTATCACCCTCACATCATTAGAATGCAGTGACAGAGCTGGAAACAGCTTCCAGGTCAACTATCAGTTCCTCCATCATTCCTCAGATTCTCCAAACATGCTGTGAAAGGCTGGATTCATTTAGCTGTATCTGCTTCATGGCAAGAAATGTGGAGTGTTCATCCAGTTTCTCTTTAACAAGTGAATACAAATATTTGCAATTCTGGAAAGTCAATTTGCATGTCAATGGCTAATGACTTCTCCATCGGAATCCATTCCCAACACCAACATTTGCAAGGCACACACCTTTCCAGTAGTGCTTCCATCCCCCAGCCCTCAAAGTAGTTTATCCTTTTCTTTCTTTTTTTTCTTTTTTAATTTTTTTTTCAACGTTTTTTATTTATTTTTGGGACAGAGAGAGACAGAGCATGAACGGGGGAGGGGCAGAGAGAGAGGGAGACACAGAATCGGAAACAGGCTCCAGGCTCCGAGCCATCAGCCCAGAGCCTGACACGGGGCTCGAACTCACGGACGGCGAGATCGTGACCTGGCTGAAGTCGGACGCTTAACCGACTGCGCCACCCAGGCGCCCCAGTTTATCCTTTTCTTAAGGCCATAACAATTTCTAAAATATTATGAGAAATTATCTACTTTGGAATCAGAGTGAGTAGTTCTTAATGGTACATAATTCCATGCAGTTCATAATTCTTCAAATAATTATTTGAAAGAGCACTTTAAAAACTATCAGCATAATACATGCTCCAAAATAGTAAAGGATTGACATACATTTAAGATAAGTAGTTTTTATTTGGTTTTGGTTTTACTCTGTTCTTGCTTCATTTATTTTCTTAGAATGGTTAAGGTGGTCAAAATCTTTAAAAATGCATGTAACGCATTTCCCTCAATTTATGGATAATAAAGATTTGGACCAAATCAACTGACAGGACCATTTCCTCAGTTCTCATCCTTCCTACTGTTCCTCTGTTTCCAACTATCTCCTAGATTCCTGTCATTTCTACCATCTCTGAACCTGAGCAAAGACCCTGCCTTGTTTTTGCATTTTATGTCTTTTTCATGTCTGTGCATTTATGTTCTTTGCATAATGCACTTTATGCATTATGTCATGTTGGCTTTCACCATTCTATTTGAAATATTCTATTCTAATTTGAAATACTGCAACTAATCTACCAAACATTTTATGGGAATAAATTAGCCAGGCAGAAGTGTCAGACAGCCTGAGTAAGTTTTATACACTGCCAACAGGATAGAAGTGACTTTCCAGGGATCTACATCTGAGGCTGACCCTCCAGTCGAGGACCCACTTCATGGGTTGTGCAAATTTGCAGGACTATACATCTGCACAAATTTATAGGTGAACAATTACAAAATGAAGAAAAGGAAATATCCTTAGCTCAACAACAACAAAAAAAAGATAGGATGGAACAATGAAGCACTCCACAAAGGTCAAAGCCTGGTAAACTCATTTATACTGCTGTCCTAATAATAAAGTTCTTTTATTACCTAAAATTGATCCCTCCTCCTTCCCTCACACTCCCCTTCCTCCAGCCAACTACTTTGCCATGTTCCTCACAGTCTCAGCTAATGTCTCTGTACAACATGGGCTGCCCAGTCTTAAAGCCCCTCAAGTGACAATTTGACGGAAACTATTCTATTCTAAATATTCCTACTTTTAAAATGTGTTAATAATAATTTAAATTTTGAAGTCTTAACAGAGGTTTTAGGCCAACTATAACAGGCACTACGAAATTATAAACTGAACCAGTACTAGAAGGAAGTCTGGAACTGTAAAGCTGTGTGTGATATCATGTCATGGAGAGGTGTCCCTGGAGTTCATGAAATGGATTGCCCACTCCTCAAAAAAAGTTAAGTGTCTGTTGGTATTACAATCACCTAAAGGCGAAATGTGCCAATGTACAACAATGCTCAGAATTCCACTATCTTAATTCCCTGCTAAAACTGTTGAAACTATTGTCATTTCAGTTTACTCTTATTTTTCTTCTATGTAGTTATACCTCTAGTTTTGTAAAAGAAAGGGAGCATAAAAGATGCATGTTGCTCAAATTTGCTTTATGGGAAAATTTGCTAAAAACCAGGAATTCCTCGGGTGCCTGGTTGGCTCAGTCAGCACAGCATGAGATTCTGAATCTCAGAGGGTCATGAGTTTGAGCCTTACTTGTAGAATAGAGTTTACTTAAAATAAAATTAAAAAAAAATTTTTTTTAAACACAAGAATTCCCCCAAATGGAAAGACATTAAAGAAGGATTCTCTTTAACCATTTTATCAGTCTCAATGGACACAAGAAAATCTTCCAGAGAACAGCTGACTAGATTAAAATTCCCTTCATTCGTTTCATTGGTTTCTCACTTTTTAAGGCTATTATGATGGGTTGAATTCTATTCCCCCCAAAAAACTTCCACTACCTACAGATGTGACCTTATTTGTAAATAAGGTCTTTGTTGATGACGAAGTTAACATGAGGGCATAAGGGTGGTCTCTAATCTAGTATGACTGTGTTCTTATAAAAAGGAGGAATTTGGACACAGAGACCCACACAGCAGGAGAATAACAGCTGAAGATGGGGTTTACAGTATGACAAGCCATGGAACTCTCAGAAACTAAGAGAGCCCTGGAAAAGATCCTTCCCTGATGTCTTCAGAGGAAAGGTGGCCCTGCTGATACCTTGACCTCAGACTTTAAGCCTCCAGAACTGTGAAACAATACACTTCTATTGTTTAACCCACTCAGTTGTGGTACTCATCATAGC